TTGAATTCAGCTTTTTACTCCTTTCATCTTACTTCTGCTAGTTTGAGTTATTTCAGCTACTATTTAGCTGTTTTGTGCTATTTTTAGCTTTTCAGCTATTTCCACATTTTTTTTAGCTCATTTCAGCTATTTCCACTTCCTTTTGGTAGTTTAATCTTTCTGCCTTTTCAGCTACTTTTCTGCTTTTTATTTTTTTTTTGCTAATTTCAAACTTTTTTAAGCTAATTTCATAAATTCTGTTCTCATTTATGCTTATTCAGTAAATATGTGTTCTTTCAGCTTTATACTGCTAATTTAGGCTTAAATTCAGCATTTTATTTTTAGCTAATTTCAGCTGTTTTTCAGCAAGTTTCTTCAGCAATAAGCATTTACACTTTATTTTCACAGGAAATGCAGTTTCTCTAGTTGGAGCTTCTTCTGCTCTTCCTGAGACCGTGCCTCTGAAAGATGTCACTGTTTTATTTTTTTATTTTATTTTTTTCTTGTTTGGAATTGGAGCATAAAGTTGCCAGTCAGTTCTGATTGTGATCTTATTAATTGTTTACTTCAGAACAAGTTTTAACACCATTGTGTTGTCTTTCTGGGAGGCAGATGTTACGTGCTCCAGGTGTTTCTTGTGGTTTGCACTTGAGAGATGTTCATAAAATCCAACCAGATGTTCATTTTTAAACAGCTTGGTGGGTTCATTTTATTCCCCCTGAGCTCAAAGTTTCTGTCACTCTTTGTAACGTTGGCTCTACTTAATTTACTTATTTGACATTCTATATTTCTCTGCAGCGGTCATCATAGACCTTCAGAGACCGTGTTTCCTGCAAACTTATCGTGTTTATTAGATCCAGAGTTTTTCTCATGTGAGTCAACATGCATCTTAGAACAAACACGTTTTCTCAGATATGAACGTGATTATTGCAGAAACTGATGCCGTTTCTTTTCTCCTTCAGCACTTTCAGCTGTTTTACCTTTTCAGGTGTCCAAACGCTCGGCTCATTCAGATGTGTGCTGTGACTTCTAGTGTTTTTAACTTGAATATGTTTTGAAAATTGAAATATATTTAAAGTTTTTGGTTTAATTGAAAAGATTTATAGTTTAGCTAATTTCAGCTTTTAATTTATATATTTTTTTAGCATTTTAACTTTTTCATCTCTAGCTTTTTACTTCTGTTTTGCTAATTTTACTTTTTAACTAGAGATCTAGTCAATTTAAATAGCTTAGCTTTTAGCTACTGTTGTACCAATTTTAGCTTTTAGTGACTAATGTATTCAATTTAGATTTTAGCTACCTTTTAGACAATTTTAGCTTTTAGCTTCAGCTCTGGTTTAATTTAACTTTTAGCAACGGTTTTGAATGTTTTAACTTTTAGTTACAATTTTGTTTATTTTAAATTTAGTTACTATTTGATCAGTTTTAGCTTTAGTCTACTTACTGTATTTCCTAATTAAAGGTTTTAATATTCTAATCTTGCTTTTAGCTTTTTTGAGCTTCTTTTAGCTTTTAGCTACTGCGTTACTTTTTGAACTACTGTTTTGTTGGACTTACCTTTTAGCCAAGGGTTTACTAATTTTACTTTTAGCTAGTTTTTCTACTTTTAGCTTTTAGTGTCCGTTTGGCTGATTTTAGCTTCTGTTTTGCTTCTTTCAATTTTGACAATTCAGTTTCAACATCTTCAACAAAATTCAGCTCAGCGTTCACACTGAGAATGCTCATTTTTCTAGTTTTTCACCTGTTTTGTTGCTCGTGGAAGCTCTGCATCGGACAGCAGCAGCCTGCAGATATAAAGAGCCGAGGTTTATTTAGTTGTTGTCTGAATGTCATCTAGTGTGTCACCTTTAGCCCCCACAGTGTGGGCTGTCAGCCCAGTCAAAACCAGTAAGCCAGCCTTATTATCCCTGAACTGGATGTTACTCCAGTTCTGTTTGTTGAGCCCTCGGCGCTCTGAGGAGTTCCTCCTGTCGGGGGAACGTGTAATCAGCTGTAAAGGCTGAACGGTCGATGATAACGGATGATATTAAGATATTTCTGCAACTTGATGAGTAACTGAAGGGAAGATAAATGTAGAGTGGACTCTCATGAATCTTTCAGCTCGAGTGGCTGCAGTGGAAGAGCAGGTGAACAGAAAGGTTTTCAGCTCACAGCGTATGAACTCGTGAAGTTTGTGTCCCGAATTCAAAAAAGCCTCGAGTCCAAAACGTTTGTTTGCACACCCCAACAAACCTGACCCCTCTTGGGTTTGAAGGAAGATTCGTGGATTGTATTAGCCTGCCTGTTTACAGTAAATTAAGCTTTTCGGGTTTTTTTTTTATTTTGTGCATAATAATGCGATAAATCGCGATTAATTGCGAAAATATTTTTAGATTAATCACAATTTTAAAAATGTATCTTTGCCCAGCACTAATGCTCCTTCTCACACTCTTACAATATTCTAAACAATGTTTCTAAACTGTAAACGCTCAAAAAGAGCGCAGAGTGTCATGATTTCAGCGCCCTGCCTCGGGCGCCTCTCTGCCAGCGCTCTCGGCCACGCCCACTTCTCTGCTGCAGATATGACACACTGCAAGAGGGAGCTTCTCCCTGCACATGTGGGCTGCACACAAGTGCAGCAGGTGCTAAATGATTTCATATAATTTATTTTAAATAAAAATTTCATGCCGATTGTGCGGCTTATCCATCAATCAGCCAATTGTGCGTCATGTCCAGTCTTACTTTGAAAAACCGCGATAGAGCGAGTCCACAAAAAGTTAACTGTGAAGTAGCAAGGGACTGCTGTGTATGTGTGTGTACAGTATATACCATTTACAAAAAATTAGAATATCATGGAA